AACAACTATTCATTTCTTAAGTCATACTCAACACAACAAATTCATAATGCTTCAAAGGAATTTACCTAGATTTTTAGAGTTGATCTAAAGGTAACATGCCTTGTCCTTGAAATGAAGAGCTCCTAAAAGATAGTTCTGGTAGTCTAGATTTCTGGCTTTTCTGATTCTATGAAAGAGATTTATACTTGGCGTTTCACAGGGGGAGAAAAGGGGGACTAAATAAAACCAAAAGCCACTATAAAAATCCCCTAATCCTCCTCTATCTGAGTGAAATCTTAAACATATTAGCCCTTTAGCATAGAATTAAGTTTACACTTTAAAATTAGGTGATTAGAAATATTTGAAATGGCAGCAAAACAATGGTTGATTTTTGGCAATCCAAAAAAAAGAAAATGTGACATGATTAGTGTTGGTAAACTTAAGTTTAATAACATGGGATCATTACTTTTTCCATGGGTAAAGTACAAGAACACTTGCAAAAATTAAGAGATCTCAGCAAGAGTTCTAACTCTGCCCTGGTCAGCAATACAGGCCTTAGAAGCACCTTTATAATGGCTCATAAATCCACAGTGGCATTTTTAAACATCAGAATGTACTTCAGATAAAATGCAACTGGTTAAGCCAGAAGTTTCCCTAACAGCAACTGACTGAAGAACAGTGGTTCCTGAAATGTCCCTCCTGCCGCCTCCACTCCTGCAGCCCCCTACCCCCTGCCATAAGTCACATCTGTGAACGTGGTAGACGTGCAAACTCTGCCACCTACTGAATCAGAAATGCTGGGGAGGGGTCCCAGCAATCTGTTTTAACCAGCTCCTCCAGGTGATTCTGATTTAAGGACTTCTGTAGAAGACACTCCAGAGGTTTTGAGTGTGAAACCATGCCCAAGATGCTTAATTTTGTGTGTACAAGCCATCCTCACTTTGGTTGACCTAACCTCCACTTCCCATCACCCGTCCCTTCCAGTTGGCAGCGCAAAGAGTAGGACCTTGTTCAAAATACTCTTGGAAAAGGTCCTTAGATAGGCTTAATGGAAAAGCCGTCTATTTTTCATATGTTACCACAGTAACAGTAACACGAAGCATCATTTACTCGCATAAGAAAAGTCCCCTTTGCAGGGGACATTGAGTATTTACAAAAAGGTCACTTTATCCTGAGGAAACCAAATTTTGGAAAAGCAAATATGGGAAATGCAGCTTCTAAGGCTTCCATATGCACCTTTACTGCCCACAGTCTAAGTGAATACTCCCTAATTATGATTGCCCAATACGGAAAACATGTGTCCTAGGTGAATGTCCACTGTGTACTCTGAAAGGCATCATTTCCATGTAATGGAGAAAAGAAATGTCTTACTTCAGTACCCCTGCTGGTCCCTTAGAGAAAACATGTGTCCTAGGTGAATGTCCACTGTGTACTCTGAAAGACATCATTTCCATGTAATGGAGAAAAGAAATGTCTTACTTCAGTACCCCTGCTGGTCCCTTAGTCCTGAATTCCACAGGGAAGGTGACCTATTTCACCTCCATCCATCCTTATTGCCATTTGGTATCCTATGACATCCCTCTTTAGTTCTAAATTCAATCCTCACTTATGGGAACTGCCACAAAAATAATAATGTTTATCTCTGGATTATAAAACCCATTTCTATATCATAAAATCAATTTCATTTCGTGTGCAGCCTTTATTTTTAAGGTTTATAACTAGCTTCCACATTTACCACCTCACTTGATTCTCATAACAACCTGTGAGGTGGCTACAGTTTTATTATTCTCACTTTACAGACCAGAAAACTGGAACTTAGTGCTGACCTCAATAAACAACTGGTCATTGAATATTCAAGAAGAGCTACAAATGCTTTGTATCAAAAATTAAGGAATTCACAATGTCCAAAAGAATTTCCAAACTCACTTGTATTTGTCATCTGCCAAATGATATTCACCAGAAATCCCCTAGTAGGTTTTCAGGTTTTTCTGACTTAGAAAGGGTGAGGGGCAGGGAGATGACATAAATTAAAATGGACAAACTCTCCCCGTTACAAAACTCAGATAAACTGCAATGATGTCTGAAATTCTATGGGGTTCAAAGTGACAACAGTGATGATGATGATGATGGTGCTAAGACTGATTAAGCTCTTAACGATGTGCAAGGCACCATTTGACATACATTAAATATATTCAACAATCCTACTAATATCTCCATTTTACAGATGAGAAAAACAAGGCATAGAAAAGCTAATTAAGTTGCCCAAGACTACACATCTTGCTCCCTGGACACAGAGAAGTGGCAAATGGACGTTCCAACCCCCCCGTGAGGTCAGCCTGCCAGAGATGGAAACCTGACCTGGGAAGGCGGCCACCACAGGAACCAGATTGTTTCCAGTGTTGCCATTTGGGCAACAGTCTCCACTCTCTCACTCAAAACATTAATCAACTCTCGTATTCCAAGTAATTAAGCATCCACAGAGACTCCTAACAACCAGTTCCTTCTCCAACTTTCCCCCATGAAGCTTTTCTAGATCTTGGTTAGCGATGGAACACTGGCTGATTCGCCCGGAACTGCCTTAAGCTTTTAAAGAAAAATTAGAGAGGAAAGCAGCTTTGGAGGAAATGTGCAAATTAAAGATGCATGTGGGAGGCAGCAGTTCTAGTAAGCGCACAGAACTAACGGCTCTGATTTTTCTTTTAAAGAAATAAAAATAAAAGGCGTCCTCACTGGGGTAAATTACTCCTGGCTTTTTTTTTTTTTTAATTCCCCTCTACTATTTTCAACTGCTCACATTGTGGATGAGCTCGCTTTTACATACTGATCAATCTTTCCAAGTTTATACACCTGTTTCTTAAGGAAGGAAACAAAGATCAAACTGAAGAGAACAGTCTTAGGCAAAAGAGAAAAATTACATGATGAATGAATGTGGTCTTCATGAGTGACGATACTATGATGGGTGCTGAAGGTAAGGGGACAACTTTCAAAGACTTCCTCAAATGTGCTTACCTTCATACATCTCCTGTCTCTAGTTTTCTCTGAATAACCAGCTTGAGATCCTAGGAGTTCAATAGAAAACCCAATTTAACAGCAAGTTTTAGAGTATTCCACATAATCTTTCCTTAAGGCAAAGTCCCAATCCTGGGAGATGGGACTATACTGACCACAAATTAGGTGATTGTTTATACCCACCTTCCTCACACACTCTTTAATAATCCTGGTTCAACTACTTACTAACTGTGGGCCCTGTATGCTTAACTCTCCTCTATAAAATAGGAACGATAATAATCCCTCATCAGGATGGTAGGAAAACTAGATGAGTTAATAAATGTAAAGCCCTTAGATCTGTTCCTGATAGAGTAAGAGCTCAAACAGCGTTAGCTATTATTATTACTACTATTATTTGCAAAAACATTACAACAGGGAATGGTATCCAGGAGGCTTTCACTGAATCAGTAATGTTTTATTGCTTTTATAAAATTCTGAAACCAAAACAACTATCTATACACACACAAAAAGGTAGTTCTAGGAAAAGGTAAAAGGCGGGGCGGGGGTGGGGGGCGGGGAGGTCTGCCCATAATCAAGACAACTGCTGGTGAGTTTCGGATGAAGGTGCAGTTGCAGCATCCGGTGCCACCACTGCCCTCTATTTCTCTTACAGGATGCCCCATCTTCTGTTACCGTTCTTTTTTTTTTTTTTTTTTTTTTTTTTTTTTTTTTTTTTTTTTTTTTTTTTTTTTTTTTTTTTTTTTTTTTTTTTTTTTTTTTTTTTCTTTCGTTGAATGTCTTTCTCTTTCTCTCTCTCTTTTTAAAATTGAAACATGATTGATTATACATATCTGTGCAGTACAAAGTTGAATGCCTGTGTACAATATGTGATGATCGAATGAGGATAATTAGTATATTCATCCTTACAAAATGTAATCGTTCTTTGTGTACATTAATCGGCTGCGGTTCTTAATCAGTGTTTCAAGGGCAGGATTGCAGGCGGGTCCATGAACCCCCCGGAATTGTACATGGAACTGGGCGAGGCTATGGCTTTGGGCATTGGGGGGAGGGGGCAGGGGGCGTTCCACAGCTTTCCTCAGACTCTAATGACCCTGTAGAGACCAACTTGCTTTAGAGGGCTGAACTCAAGCGATGTTGACCGAATACTTCACGGAAGGCTGCGGCAATAACCGGGACACCTGGAGCGCGAGCCTGGCCAGACCGCGCGCGGCCACGCGCCCCTCCCCACTTACAGACAGACCAGAACAACTTTGCCACTGAAAAACGCCCCGGCTCCGCGGACGCCACCCGGGCCTGCGGGGTTTAACTTCCTCCCCTCCCCCATCCCTCGTTCATTTCCACGAACAAACTCAAAGGAAGCTGGCAACGATCCGTATAAGGTTTCACTCCTGCCCTCGGCTGACACTGAAACCACTTCTCCCAGGGAAGTTAATTAAAAGAACAATTAATCCGCACAAAAATCCAAAACCTAGCCCAAAGCTCAAGAGCTCTTGAAGTTAGAAGACTGAGGGCGCCTCTGCCGATCGTGAACATCTGCCCGTCGCTGGGCTCAGGGGTAGGCAGGGGGTCCGACAGGGAAGCAGGTAAGGACCGGGCAGGGGCTGGGACGCCTGTCTCCCGCTCCTGGGCGACTCAGAGTCCACACGCCACCGACGCCGGTGAAGACCGGCCAGGTAAGCAGGTCGGTGTGGGCATGAGCATGAACTGAAACACAGCCACGGCGGATTAAAGTTCAAGCCCGCTCACACGCCGCTTCGCCTTCCCCGCCGTTCTCACGCGCGGCCCAGGCGGCCACTTGCCGGGGGACACCTGGGCGCTCGACAGTCCCCCTTTTTGTAATTCTTAGTGACTACCATTGCCTCCCAGGTTCCAACCAATAAAAGCATTAGCCTCCGTCCACTCTCCCAGGCGGGTGCAGAAACCCCCCGGAAAAGAGAAACGGAGGGGACAGGGAAAAGCGGGGTGTCGCGGAGGGCAGGGGGCTCAGGGCGCGCAGCAGGCAGAGTACGTACCCAGCGCGAACAGGGCGAGCTGTCCAGCCGAAGTGACCATTTTACGGGCGGGCGGGCAGCAGGCGCTCCAGCCTCCTGCCCTACCTGCGGTGCCCGAGTGGCGGAGCGGCGCCGCGGTGCGGGGGAAAAAGGCGCCGGCGAGGCAGGGCCGGCCCACGGCGCGGGCGGGCGGGCGGAGGGAGGACCGAGCGCCTCTCTGCTGGCACTCACGCCGCAGCGCTGCCCGCCGGGCGGAAATAGGAAGGCGGTTACCGTCACCTCTGCACCACTCCGCGACTGGGGCACGGCTGACCACCCGCCCGCCCCAGTGGGGGTGCCCCCCTAGGGGCACAGGAGGTGGGGGTTGGGGGCCGAGGGCGGGGACGCTGAGCGCACCAAGCAGGGCGCGGGCGGCGGGGCGGGGCGACTCGGGATCCCTGAGCAGGGCAGCGCGAGCCTGGCACCCGGGCCAAAGAAAAGGCAGGAAGCGCCTGACTTCAGACACCACCCCCAGACCGCCAGCGCAGTGCGGCCGCGGGCCCCTGCGTGCGGAGTCGGCTCCAGCCGCCGAGCCCGAGAGTCCCGGGGCGCAGTGGCAGCTTCCAGACTCTAGGAGGCAGAGCGGAGCTGTCCGGCCTCTGGTCCCTTGCGCCGGGCCGCTCCAGGGGCCTCTCCCGGGCGGGGGACTGGGGACGCGGTCAGGAACCGGACCTTCAAGCTTCGTTGACTGTTTGCCAAGACTTGGCCCAACGAACGTGCTCCCCGGAATCAAGCGAAGAATTTGTTGAAAGAAGTTTCCCACCTGCTCCCCCAGGCTCATCAATTCAGGGGACACCTGCCACCTGGGCACAGCCACCCTACGTCCCAGGCAGGCACATTGTGAAGATCAGCGAGCCTTCTACTTCTGGCCTGGGGCTGATGATAAAAATGGGTCTCTGTCTTTGGAGAATCTGGTTATGCACCACCAATGTTATCCCCACCCTGCTGCAGGCAGCTGAGGCCAAGAGCCAGGTAGCATGCCACCAGGTGTGTCCCAAGAGAGGGAGTATGGGCTGGAGTCACTTGGGTGGCCCTTTCAGGATTTGCGGCTCTGAGCTGGCCCCTGGCACTGTAATTTGGGGAGGTGAAGTGGACAGAAGGAAGACATTCTGGGTCAAGAATGGAAGATCCATAGGTTCCTTAGGGACTATCTATAGGGGACAGTACACTCCAGAGAGTAAGTGACGGGTCATATTCTCCATATGCCCCGAGCTCACGGACTGACCCTCTTCTCCTGACCCCCCTGGCTGAGCTGCTCAAAGGTAGACCCTCTCCTTGAAGGTGGAGGGTGTCTGAGGTGGGGAGTTTCTTTGGCCAGAGTCTCAGACTCTCAGGGTTGACTTTTGCCGATTTCGTTTCACATAAGCGAGGGGCCTAGTTTCAAGAAGGAAGCACCAGGCCATTGATCTCAACATTTGGGCAGAAAGCACAAGTGTAAAAAACAGATTTTGAAAAGGTCATACATTTACATTGACAAATCATTCCTTTCAATACTTTGGTCAGAGGATACTTCATTTTTTTTTTTTTTTTTTTTTAAATTATTTATTTATTTATTTTTTTATTTTGTCAATATACACTGTATCCACGGTGAGGGTTTTATGGTAAATTCTGGGGTACATCTTTTCCTCAGTCCACCCCATGCACATATAGGGCACACACACTGTCTTTAGTGGGTTGTCCCTGATCTCTTCAGCATCTGGGTCCACCTTCAAATTGTTTTGGCCTGTAATGGTGGCTTCCCTGTCCCCTCACTAGACTAGCCTGCCTTGGATAGGGAAGGGAAGGAATCAGTTCTCCCACCTGTCTCCTGTTCTCCAGGACTGGAGAATGGACCTGTCACCTTGCTTCCTCCTGGAACATGCACATCAGACTCCCTGTGGCTGACGGATGGCTGCCCAGCTGTCTGAAAGTCACGTTCAGCAGTTTCTGCTTCCCTGCCTGCTGCCCACACACAAAGTCAGGGGTAGAGGGAAGTAGCAGCAGAATCAAGCCAATGAGCTTGTCCCCTCAGGACTGGAAAATCTTTTGAATCAAGGGATAATTTGCCAAATGCAAAATAAAGAGTACCCAAATCAAAGTACATTCTAATGCTTGAACATTATTAATTCTCCCCAGGACTGGAAAATCTTTTGAATCAAGGGATAATTTGCCAAATTGCAAAATAAAGAGTACCCAAATCAAAGTACATTCTAATGCTTGAACATTATTAATTCTCCCCCGAGATTTTCAAGAGCCGGTCATATCTGTAGTTTTGTAACTTCCAATTTATTCAAGTCAAACAGATAACCAGGGATTGGGTTTAGTTGTTGTTGTTTTTACTTAAATATTGTTTTTTTGTAAACAGAACTGACAATTTTTGAACATTTTTTCATAGAACTAGGAGGAAACCTAATATCTTAAATTGTTGATGCTCTGGCTTTGGCATTTTATATGTCTCATTTAATCCTCACAACAACCTTATGAGATAGATCCTACCCCCCTTTTATATGAAAACAATTGAGACTGAGAGAGTTTAGTAACTTACCCAGAGTTACACAGCCAACCAGAGGCAGAACCGATTTTGAAAGCAAAAGGAGCTGGTTCCAAGTCTCATGTGTTGGCTTCTATGCTGTGCTGCCTCAGTTTCCCCATTTTTAATAAGGATAATAATTAACTTATTGGGTTGATATGAGGACTAAATGCAAGAATTTATTTTCATGCTTAGCACAGCATTTGATATCAACAAAACTTGCTATTAAATGAGAGGGGTGCCATGGGCCTCAACCATGCCCTCCTTCCTCCCCCCTTCCTCTTCCTAACACCCTATTCCTCTCCACCTCCTTCTCTCCCCCTCCAGGGCAACTGCTCTGCAACATCTTAGAATGTAAAAATAATAATTAATTAATTAATTTTAAAAATAAATAAAGAAAAACTCCATAAGTGGAAACACCTTTTCCTTCACTCAGTTATCTTTATTTCATCATTTCCATATCAGTTCCATTATCCTTATCTTTATTATCTTTATTTTATCACTTCCATATCAGTTCCTTTACTCAGGCATATGCGTGTGCATGCCTGTGTGCGCATGCGTGCACACACACATACACCTTCCTATGGGAAATAGTTTTACAAGTAAATCAGGAGCTAGGAATTTGTTTCTCAATCTGTATTGTGAGAGGGATGAGAAAAAAATTACAGGATGCAATTCAGAGCAAAAAGAAATCATTTTTCCCAAAGGGTAGTGTGACATTTTTGTATGCCAGCAGTACAGAATACATTGTTCTCTGAGTGAAATTCCAGCCCCTGGAAGCTGGGTGGAAACTCAGGTGTGTTCCTTCACTTACAGACACTGAACCTGTCTTGCTTGGCCACTGAAGCTCCTGTTTCTGTGTGCATATGTGGCATTCCGACTAGGAATATGCCTGGACCACCTTTGCACACATTTGCTTCCACTGGCCTTGAGCTCAGTATAATCCCTTCTCTAACAAGCCAATCACAGTCTCCCCTCCCTGTGCAAACAAGAGAACTATGTTATGTTCTACTCAGAGGCCAGGAACATCCCACTGTCAATTCTCCCTTTCCTTTTTTTCTACATACTTATTACAGAGGGTATGTTTAAAAAGTCCCCTTCTTCACTGTAATCAGCCTCCCCCTCCTTCCTGATTCATTTCTGGAAGTGACTGTAGGGCCAAAAGCACCAGAGTCTTCCCTGGATGATTCAGGCCATCTGACTTGCTATTTAGATCGGCAATTACCCAAGACATTAGTGAGTAAACAGCGCAGACATTCTTAGGAAGCACAGCCATGGGCCATAGGATCGAAGGAATTACAGTTCCTGCTGACAAGCAATGACTGCAGAGAGCAATGACCGGAGCCAGCTACAGGTGGCTGCAGGACTTTCCTGGGTGACAGCCTCAGACAGGGGGGCTCAGAGGGAAAACAGGAAAGGGTACCTGGCATGGTACGAGGGCAAAGATCAGATGTCATCTGTATATGAGAGAGAAAGAGAGAAGTTTTATAAAGAGTTCTGAAGAACTATGCTTAGGCAGAGTGAAGAGATTTTAAAGTGCTAAGGAATTTAGGGAAAGAAATCTAATCCAAAGTAAGGTATTGTCCAAGTATCAGGCCCTTCTGAAGCCTCAGCTATTAATGTACTCCTTATCTGGGAAAAAGTAGGAAACCTTACGCCGAGTTCATTCTCACAGTTTTCAACACCAGCATAGTAGGTGGGGCAAGAAGCGATAAGAGGGATTTGCTTTGTCCTCAGCAACCTGGGCGTTTTTTATTGCTAGTGTTGCCCAAAGACTGGTCTGACCTTCTATTTAACATCTTCCATCCCCCAGCTCTCAGGTCTGCCTTGGGAATGCACACTGAAGTATGTATTAAGCTTGAACCCTTCCTCCCTAGAGGATATCACAGAATGCCTATGAAGCCCTGTATTGAAATCTACAGGCTGGTGGTTCCACAGGTGGTCCAAGCAGCTCCATGTTCTAGTCAAGACACTAGGTTGGAGTCTCTAGGACTCGGGGTCACCAAATGGCTGCTGCAATGAAAGACGTTCTCATCTAGTTCATGAGCCTCCTAGGTACCCAGAGGATTCAGCACAGTCAAAGCCAAACCATCCCATAAGCATATTGAGGCAGAACTACATGCTCAATTCTGTCATCGCTGCCATTGCTACTGTCCCCCCACAGCCTCAATCATACTGCCACACCCTTCTGAAGACTAGGAAGAGTGCCACCAGAATTCTCAGGAGTGCCTATGAGAAAGTCCTAAGTCAAATGCCCAGAAATCCTTAGACAAGTATAACTAATTATGCTGATGCTCAACAGAAGCAAAAGAGAGACAGGAAAAAGAAAATATAAAGAATCAAAGAAGAAGAAAACAATGAACTTATAGATGGCTGCAAAGGGAGGGGGGGCTTTATTTTTCAGTGATGGGTCAGTCTGTCCGAGAAACTCAAGAAATTCTCCCCAAGCTCATAAGAAAAGGGAAAAACTTATGGGACATAAGATATGAGACAAAGCTAGGATATCCAAAAATACTTTTAATAGGATCCCAGAAAAAGAACATAGAGCTGACAGAGGAGAAACTGT